TTTTTGTGAAAAGATTAAAAAACATTTAACTGCTAAATTTCTATGTCAGTTAAAAAAAAGAACTCTTTTGCACTAAAAAATATATCCAAAAATAAATTATTACATATTATTAGACCTGATAAAGGGAAGGAGTAGTAATAATGGAAAAGGTAGATTATATAAAACGAGATGAACGAAATTTTAAGTGATACATGTTTTTTTCAAAGAATTGACAAATGTACAAGGGTCGAACAAGAAAGACAAACTAAATCTAAAGTTATCCAAATTAACAAAAAGAAAATTTCATTACTGAAGGAGAATATCATTTTTTCATTCGATAAGACTACAACCGCGAATAATTTATGAGCTACCCGAAAAATCACATAGTAAAAATACCATTAAGACCAATCGTTTCTGCTTTAGGGACATTTAAATACAATCTAGCAATTGTATTAGTAAAAAATATTAGAACATCTATGTCAGAGCTATTTTATCATTAAAAAAAACATTCTTCTATTGACGAGCTTCACTCTCTAAACATGAATACTTCTGAAGTAAAAATTAGTTTCTTTTGACTTTACGAGTCTATTTACAAAGGTCCCTCACAGCAAACCATAGAATTGATTCTTGAAAAGCTTTGCGGATCAAAGCATACTTGCACTTGTAGTAGAGGAAAAAGAGGATACTGGTGTAAATATTGTAAACAGATATATTAATTGTAATGGCTTCTGGAAGTAAAAATGAAAGAAACACATTTTATTTCCAATGAAGAAAAAGTACACCCAAAAAAAGTGAGATAGCTATAGATTCTCTGTTTGGTCCGTTGTTTGCGGATATATATATGATAAGCTATTTAGAAAGTAAATTAAAGTCTAGATTAAAAGGAAATGGCCTCGTATTGTGGAAGCGATTTGCAGATGACACATTTGTAATTCTAAAGAAAGACACAGCACATCAATAAGCTAATTGATATATTCAACAGTTTTGATAGAGATATAGTATTTACTTGTAAAGGGGAGTTCAACAGTTCTATTCCATTCTTAAGTATTTTAATTATTCATACATCAGCTAACTTCCCTACAAAATCATTTTCCACTACTGTTTTGCGAAAAGCTACGTATACTGGCGTACTAACAAAATGATTTACAGAGCAATTAAGATCTGTTTATTATTTGAACCAATCCACGATGAATTTGAATTTATTACGCTAACTGTTTATCAAAAATAGACGTCCTGAAAAATTTATAGACGCTCAAACAAGAAAACACTCGGTAGATATTACGATAAAAATAGCTCTAGAACTTTTTATTGATATTTCCTTCGCAGGAAAACCAACAAAAACTGTGAGGAAACTGGTTATTAACATTGTCAAGCCAATCAATCCTCAGGTACAAATTTTGCTCATAGATCAATCACCTCGACCTACATCGAAATAATCCCCTGTAGAGGACCATATAGTAAAAAGAAGTCCAATGGAATGTTGTCTATTTAGTTAATTCTTCGAATTGTGATGTATCGTATGTAGGAAAAACCATTAGACAAGCTAGTTGAAGACTTCATCAATACTGTACTGATCTGAAAGAAAAGATGTCATTAGAGTCTGAATTTTCATTTTAAGCAGCAAGTCCCGTTATCATATGTTGGTCAGAAGAAAATGAAGGAAAAAAAGATAATATTGAAAAGCGTAGTTATAGAAAAAAGAGACAAAATTACCCCTAAAAAAGCACGCAATAGATATCGGACTTAAGATCAACTGGATAGATAGGAAAGTTTTATCTAAAGACGCAAGAAATTATTGATTATTTGTACGGATAATCATTGATCCTCGACAAACAAACAACATTAAACAAAGCAGCTTCTTTCGTGCCACTAGTTGTTTACCCAAAAGCGTAACATTCTAATAAACCAAAAGTAAAAATTAAACAGTGACTAATACACGCTATGGAAAGGTAATAGTTAGTGTTGTGAACCCTCATAACACTAACTCGGTCCATGGTAAAGGTATATGTTAAGTTTCTGATTTGGAGAGACTAACGATTTCTTTTCGTTCTTTGCTTCTTACATATGTTAATTATTCATTATACATTTGTCTTGACAATGGCAGTAGAATCGTCGAAACGTCAAAAAAAATATTAAAATTAATTGTTTTTTTGTGCTAATATTCAAAAAAGTTATTAAATAGATGTTAAAGTATATTTTTAAAGCTGCTGTGACCTCAATCACATTCCTAACTTAAATAATTGTTTACTAAAACAACGCATGAAAATATACTGGTTTTCAACATCATTTACGTAAGAATGTCATCATCAGAAAAAAAAATGGTAAAATAAACCAAAATAGTTTACTAACAAAGTATTAATTAATAAAAATTTCGAACAAGAAAAACATCATTGATTATCTATTTTACTTATTATAATTAAATATGAGCAAAATTAATTATGTTAAAAAATGGTATGAAAGAACGCCACAGGATGCATGTACTGCAGATTTTGGGGATAGTCTATTTTGTCCGACATTTGTCCTGCACATGCGGGAACAAGATAATCTTTTTTTAGAATGTAGGACCTAAAGGATAACACTTGAGTCCTGCAAGACACTCAAGTCACCTCCTTGATCGTAATCCAATAAATTTCTGGTCTAGTAGTGGAACTCGTTATGATTTTCCAGTATTATTAATACTAACCAGTGTAGTACATGCCATACTAGTGGCTAGTACTTCGATGGAAAGATTATTCAGCTCAGCTGAATTGAACTTTACTCAAACATCAATATGTTTATCGTCAAATCAGATTGACAACATCATTGATTCGTCCTTATGCGAAATTCAAGAGAAAATTAATAAAAAGAAGACTTATTCTTGCTCGTTGTCTGTCTACTTATATTGATTACATTTCGAATCTTGTATCTTTATGTTTGTTTTATTATTGCTTTATTCTTCTTATGGATGTCAAATATTATTTTTATTGTTCATTTCATTTCTGCTGAACAACACATGATAAGATTTATTAACATGCTTATTGTAAATGATTTTTGTATCAATAAAAGGACTACGATATTTGACATCGTATGTTATATATAGACAAGATTAATATTCTTTTGAAAAAGGTAATAAAAAGATCATCTTGCAGGTTGGACGCAAGAGGGCCTTTTGTCCTGCAAGATGTGTCCTCCCAGAACGAACTTTTTGATGTCCTGACCTACGTCCTGCAAAATAGGATGAGTGAATGAAAATGTCCTGTAGAATGTAAGGTAGAACGAAGAAAACCATCCTGTGACATTTTCTGATCAATATTCTGATTCGTAGATCTATTTCGTCTGCTTATCTAACTTTTATTTGAAATAAATAAATCTATTACAAAACCTTTTTGTGACGTTTCTTCTTCATCTGATTCACTAACAGCACCACCAAATAGATCAGTATGTTCTTAAAAATAAAAATAAATATTTAAATAAAAACAAAAAAAAACATATTTCTTAATTTCTTCATACCAAGTGGATCTTTTTGTATTGGTTTATTAACTTCTATTTCTTGATCATCATCAATCACTTCCCATTTAACATCAATTGCTTCATTGTCAGCTCTTGAAAAATCATTCAATTATTTATATTTTTAAAATAAAAATCAAAACCAATTTTCTTACCGAAATAAACGTCTTACTTCTTGTTCCATTTCATCTCGATCTTGAGTTTTTTGTCGAGCTACTTTACGAAAACGACGTTTTCGTACATTTTTTAATGGTGGTGTTACTAAAATTATTAAATAAATAAGAAAAAAAGAATTTGATTGATTGAAATAAAACTATACATCCATGTGGCCATTGAAATTTTTTTTCTTTATCTTTTTCTTTCTTTTTTTTCTCATTTCCACCATCAGATATTGTTGTCGCATTTGTATTTGATCGTTTCATTGTTTCGTCATCATCATCATCATCATCACTTGAACTAAGATCACCCGGTAATCGACAAACAAGAATCTAAAATTTCATTTTAATTTAAAATTAAATTAAAATCTTTGTTTACTTGAGCAATATCAGCTATTTTATATAAAGTTTTTCGATCAAATGTTTTATATGTTTCTGTTATACATGGTAAATCATAAAGAGTAGCTTTAAAAACAGTATCATCAAATTTAACACGACCACGTCTTCGTTCAGGTTTTAAATCAATAAAAAGACGTTCACGAATTTTTTCATCACCAGAATCAATTAATTCACGTAAACGTGTTGCATATTCACCCTTAAAAAAATAAAAACAATTTTGAAAAAACTTGATTGAATTGAACAAAGAAATTACTGGTGGCATTCGAAGAACAAATTGTTGTTCAAGTTCAAATTGTTCTTCATTTTTCTCCTTTTTTGTCGTTATTGTTGTTGATGTTGTGGGTGTAGTTGACATCTGAAAGAATTTACAGTTTATTACTCTTTTTTATTT